ACTCCCTTCTGTCTGTCTGGTCTTCTGTAATCAGACTAGCAGGGTCTACTGCATGCTAACTATGGGCTGGTCTGGCCCAAGTCTGGGGTTGTGGCTGTATGCTAATTTATGCAGGCAGGGTACCTCCTAACCCCTTCTCTGTCTATCTGAGGCCCAGGTCTGGCATTTAGTCTGGCACTCATTAACCCTTCAGTCGCTGCAATGTTAACCTGCTGGCCCATCCTCACCTTTATCCCCGAAGAGTTTAGCAGTTAGCCGCCTCAGGATGAGCAAGGTCTGTCTTAGTGAAATTTAAAAAAGTTTAAGAAACCAAAAATGCAGTCTGCTTTTTCAGTATGAGTGCCGAAGCCGAACTGTTAATGGTGTGAGTAAATTCACAGGAAGATGGAGATGCTGTACGTGATGATGTGTTTTCTCTCACTTATAAGTTTTGTTAGAGCTGCTCTCTTACTTTGTACCCGTGATAGTCAGTGTGCCATCGTGATAGTCTGTTGGCTTCGTCTCAGTTCTTGGCACAAGATTGGTTCTCCATCACTCTCGATAGAGCAGTTGCTCTTTCTTAATCGTGGGACAGCAGGCTCGGAAAACGAACCTGAAAGGTAGACCTTATAGTGTTTTTAAGCAGACCTAAAATGGCCGATGTGTGAGACGCCATTTTGTGTTTCCTTGTTGTGTTTTGGGGGGCAGAATCCCAGCCTTGTATTCAATCAGAGGCAGCTGGTGGAAGCCATATTTGCAGGCATCTGTGTGTGTACCTCCGTCTGAGAAGCTGCAGCCAGCCTACACAAGGATAGCCCACTGGAATGAGCTCAGTTTTTGGCAAAAACGGAAACGAATTCCTGGCACAGAGTCGAGCAGCTCTTTTTTTCTCCCTCTTTCGATCACATGCCAGAGTCTCAGGAAGCCAGTGAGTTGTTTGTTGGGCTTTCACACATTAGTGCTCTCACTTTCCGATGTCTGCTTACCGTTAAATTATTTGTCTTTGATTTATTTTAATGGAACAGATTTCCTAAAGACATTCAGCTCCGCATAAAAAAAAAAAAGCTTGGTTAGCTTGGTAAATCGGTGAGGATTTGGCAATATGTAAAATCTCACAGGGTCTTCTTTTGTTAAGAAGTGATAAATGTTTCTTGGCAGTTGAAGACTTGTGGTCATGAAGCTCTAGCAGTTTTCAGCCATAAGTCGTGATTTTGAACCATTTCCAGAAACAAAAACAAAGAATCAGACACAGAGATAAAACTGAAAATACGACCACACTCCTTTGTGCAGGGACTGAATTTGAACCGGCCTAAAATACAACGTAAATATACACTTCACCGGTGGCAGTCCTACCCAGTTTTACCTTGCATGTACTTTACATAGAAGAATCGTTAGTTAAGATAACCCTCTCTGTCTCTTTTTTCTGTACCATTGCAGGAGAGTTACCTTTGTGGATCTTTGATGCTGAAACAACGTGGATGCTGTCCTTGGGGCTGAGGTAGTAGATTGAATAGTTGTGGGGTTGTGTGACCTCTTTTTGAGATAACTATACAATCTACTGTCTTTCCCAAGGAGACAGCTGAGTCAGCCACTCGCCGACTGTCATCTCCAGATGGGCAATCATGCTGTCCAATCAAAACATACGCTTGCAGCAATCAACATAATGCACTGTGACAAGCATTGTTCTTTTTGCTAGAGCAGGTGAAATAGGTTTCATGTTCCCTAACAGGACGTGAACGTGTGGTGTGTTTGATTTGGGCTCTGTCAGGGTGAGGTAGTAGGTTGTATAGTTTGGTGGGTGGGATTGCACCCTGCTCAGGTGATAACTATACAGTCTATTGCCTTCCCTGAGGAGCTCACTGAACACTCATGAATGTTCGACACACTCACATGGCTAATTTATTCTCAGATCTCAGGAAAGAAATGAGCGAGTATCTATGTGTGCTGCTAAAAGTTAGCGATGCATTGATTGAAGCTGTCAGTGAGTAACTCAAAAATATGTACATCTCAATAAAGTCATACTTGCCTCAAATCAGTTGTCCAAAAATCAGTGAAAGAGATCTTGAAATTGTTTGTTCCTCACCTACTGCAGATGATGATGGTGTCATGGTTTGTGTACGACAGCAGCTGTTAAGTTTGTTAGTCTAGAGCCCCCTCCAGTGGAGACTCATGAGATAGCTTTGACTTAAATAAAGTTTGCAGACAAGGGGTAAGCGACCGAATAACATGGCGGACAAAGAGTATGCAGGCGTTCATTCAATAAAACTACAAATGTTTCACATGAAGGATTTCACTTAAACACTCACTGGCTGCCTGTATTTTTGCCATTGTTTATCTGTAATAAAACCTTAAATGATTGTTGGACAGTGATTTTTATTGTTTGATTGGTTTAAAAAAAAACACAAAGTCCCATGAACTCAAACCTCAAACATGTTGAACTTAAAATGACCCTGTGGTCCTTTTGTTAGGGCGTGGTCTTCCCTCCTGATCCACACGTCTCTGTGTGATGGACTCGGCTGCCTGTTCTTGATCGGCGAACTTGCTTGTCCCTATGGCAACAGTTTATGTTCATGACGAAGCGCCTCCATATTTGACTGTAGGCCTGTTGGATCTTTGGGAAGCGATAAGCGTAGACCACAGGGTTGACTGCTGAGTTGGCATGAGATAGGAGAATACCTGAAAAATGGATTTGTCACTGTCAGATTTCACTGTAACTGCTGGTAAGTAATGTGATCTGTCAATATAAACCTCTGGGGGAACTGCAAACAAATCTCAAATCAAAAACAACCAACTGTAGACTGTGTTATTACTAGAAAAGCTACCTGCCTGTATAGAGCATCCCCTCTGTGACAGCTTGAGGACCATGAAACAGCAGCAAACAGTTCATCAGGTGCAGAGGAATCCAGCAGACGGCGAACAAAATGAGAACCAGAGCCAGTGAGCAGGCCAGCCTCTTCTCCCTGAGCAGAGAGGCCTGGGCTTGGGGACAGCTCTCCTTCAGACGGCCCTGCAGGCTCCAGAAGATTCGAGTGTAGAGGACGGTCATGACCAGCAGGGGTGCCATGACACATCCCAGGAAGTTGAAGTAGACCATGAAGGGGAGGGAGATAACTGAGAGGAAGGTGCAGGGTGGAGGGATGAAGGAAGGGGAAGATGTATTGGTGGAATCAGATGCTAGAGGGGAGTAGTTGCGCCAGCCAAACAGAGGAGTGAACCCCAGTAGACAGGCGAGTGTCCAACACACGCACACGGCCATCCATGAACGCCTCTGTGTGGCCAGGGCTTTGTATCTGAGGGCGAGGGTTAAAACAGAGAGAGGGAAGGAAAGGAGAGAGAGAGAGGAATCAACAAGTAACATGTTATCCATAAAGCTTTTCTACCTGTGAACCATTTTTTTAGAGTGTAAACCTCACCTGAGCGGTATGTGTAACCGGAGGTATCTGTCCACGGCAATAGCGAGCAGTGACAGCACAGAGGCCTGAGTCAGCACCAGCACGACACAGCTGAGAAGCAGGCATAGGTCAGGGGTCACACTCACCCAACCATCTAATAGTACAGCCAGGGGTACAGCCGCCACACCCACTAGGAAGTCAGCCACTGCCAGGGAAACGAGGAAGCAGAAGGTTGGCTCCCGCAGGGAATCCCGGATGCCAATGCACACCGCACACACCACCAACACATTGCCAAGGCAACAGGCCACAGCAATCAGCACTTCTAGGACTGTGTAGGCCACCCAACTCCATTCAGCCATCACTGAAGATGGAGACCAGGCAAGACAGAGAAGCTATGAGGTTTGATAGAGCAGGTTTCCGCGAAGGCTGTGGACAGGTGGGAGGAATTCCACAGCCGAGTTAAGTCCAACATAATCCTGTGTTTGCTGTTCAGATCGCGTGTTCCTGCTTTTCAGCTTCAAATGACCAGAAAAGCATTGAACAGATGCTTTTTATATGCAAACATGCATGCGCTTCCATGTGCACACACAACAACAGGCGTGAACTCCGTGGAGATGCCATCTGTATTTCATCAGTGAGTAAAAAAAACACGGAGAAAAAAAACGTTCACACTGATGAATGTGCATCAGCGCTAGAGGAGAGGACTTCTGAATGAGCCAAAAATACTAAATTACAGATAAATGAAAGTAAAGCGTGTACCTAAACTATCAAAATGTCCCCAATGTGTCAAATCAGTGTCATATTTGTATTATATTACTAATGCATTTATTTGTAAGTGCCATTATAATGTTGTAACTGCACTGATCTGAACTACTTTATATGGTGTTGGGTAGTTTGATATCTCATAATGCATCACATTTTATAAGTTGATCATATGTTTTATATGTAAAATGTACAAAGTATCTAGGAAATAAAGCTGTCGAATACATGTAGTGGAGTTAAAAGTACAATATTTTAAAATGGAAATACTCAAGCAAAGTACAAGTACCTCAAAATAATACCTGAAGTACAATAGTAGAGTAAATGTATGTAGTTACTTTCCACCACTCATCAAATGTCACACCAGAATAAAACATTTGGAAGTATAAGCTGTCCTGCATAGTCAGGAAAGGCAGTCCATGTGTGTTGGATATTATGTAATTTGCTCATGTGTCTTTTGGTTTTCAGCACACGTGTGTGTAGCCCCATCATTTGACTATGAAAAGGAAATTGTTTTACTCTGGCAACTTCATTCTAGAAATGTGTTCAGTGTGTGGGTGTCCTGCTACTCTGTGTGTCGTACGTGAAGGGACTGTAATTTATATGTATGTTACTGATTAACAGGTCTGTTTTTAATGGCTTTTCAATGGCATGGCTTACGTTTGCATACAATTTTGGCTATGGGTGTGTGTTAGTGTGTGTCTATGAGTGTGTTTGCTTCAGTTTATAAGCACATCTGTGTTTGCTTGGCTGACAACTACATAATATGTCTTTGTTCACGGGATGGCGTAGATTAGATTAGAGTAGATGATAGAGTAGATTGTTATTTTATTAGCGATAGAATAGATTAGATAGAAATACAAAATATATTAGGGATTGTGAAAATATTTTCAAATTTATTTATTCATCTTAAAAACACAACACAAACAGATCATGTTTACACAACTTAATTTTGTAACAAAGTCTATCACATGTCCTTATATGTGCTGAATATCTGCAATACAGAATCACAAAAAAACAGAAAACCTTTAAATAAAAAAAAACTTATTTTAAGAATGATTTAAGTTCTACTTATAAAGTAGATATTATGTTATAACCTTTTAGATTTACATAATCTTTAATGCCAGCTGACTTTTCACACACCCTACGCCCATCCAGTGAGTTTGCTTCCTCGCATCACTATCAACATTTCATGTCCGGCCCTTATACCATCTCCAGTGAGCTTTCTGTATCTACCGAAAGCTCTGACCTACAGTCTGTCATCTTCTGGCTTTTCAAATACTTAGTATTGATTTGTTTCTACATACTATAGAAGTAGAATCAGCAGAAAGGACATTAATAGGACAACCACAGTGGTTCTCTCTGAATATCCATTGTGCTAATTCTATTTCTACGTTTATATACACTCTCCATCATGCTTGCTACACTGTGTTAGAGTCTCCTTGTAGACCTCTCAGTGTCTTCTCATCGAACCGGTAGGTGAGCTTCCTCTTCACCTTATGGATCTCGCCAGTGCGGGAGTAGTTCCTCAGCGCCCGTGCCATCTTCTGGTAGGTCATGGTCTTGCGATTGCCCTTTCGCCGGCCCCACAGCTGCGCCAGGCGCTCCTTGTTTTGAGAGGAGAACTGGAACGTGCCGGCGGAGGACTGGACCCACCAGATGCAGCTCCGCATTGCTGGCGTCTGGAGCATCTCGAACAGGAACTGGAACAACCGCTCCTTCCTCTTTCCTGCAAAGGAGGAAGGGGATGTAAATACAAATATGAGGTGACAATGACTCATACGTGTATATTTGTGTGTACGTGCATTGTTTTGCAGTAAATATAGAGAAGTTTGATGTGTAGTTACGTTTAGGTTTTGTATGGCTGAGAGTTTTGGTACTCAGGTTCACATGTGGACATAGGTGTCATTTACACTGGGGACACTTTTTAAAATAGCCAATTTTGTCCCCATCACAGCATAATTTGTTAGCAGTGTTGAAAAATAGCTTTTACCAAGAAATAGCCTATTGTGTCCAAATGTATTAAGGTCATTACGTCTTATTTACTGGATTTTGTAGTACATAATAAGTTAATTAATTAAGATAAACAGTACAGTGCTTCTTGCTAAAGTAATTTCTAATCTCATCTCCCTCTTTCCTCTTGTGCAGTTTGGGTTGCTGTAAATTAGGCTAGTGCACTATTTCTAAATGCGAAACTAGCTATTGTATTTTTCCATGATTTCCATGATCTCCCCTAGAGGGTATGGGTGATACATATGAGTTAAATTATGTGAAATGTATGATTTCATTTGTGCAATTAATACGGATAAATAAATAGAAATAATCTAGTCTCTGCTCCAGTTGAATTCATGTTCTCACACAATATTCAAACCTTCAAAATTAGAATGAGTTATGAACTTTACTAATGAACTCTCTGTTTCTCTAGTACAAAAGTTTGCATGCATACAGCATCGATACAACAAGGCAGTTTAATTTAACATCTAAAGGTAAGATGATTTATTTATTAAAATTATTCCTTCAGTTGTTTCAATTTTGTCATATTTTAGGGCATATATATATATTATATATATATAATATTGGTATTGTTTGATTACCACTGTGTTATCTACTCTGACATCATACTGATCCTCCAATTACATTGCTTAAATCACATATGGTGAAAACTGATAATTTCCCTAATTCTTTTTACCACAAAGTGATGCCCTTTCATGTGGTGATGTCTGTGTGTGTGTCTGTGTGTGTGTGTGTGTATACCTGAAAGTGGGGCGAGAGGCAGGGAGCCTCCCCTGTCAGATGATGGGGAAGGAGAATCTTGGTATTCCTGGTATTGGGAGCTACTGGACTGGGAGTCTGAGTCGATGTATGCAGGCACCTCGTATGAGCAATGAATGTGGTCCTGAAGCAAACACATATAAAAACAAATAAATAATTCACAAATGTAACTCAAAAATCATGAATAGTGAATCAAAACCCTTTAAGTTCAGCCTCAAAATGTGTCACACAGTGATGTGCTGTTGTAATCAGCTATGGAAGAAGTAATTAATCTTTCATTTACTCAGAGACTGACGTCCTTGAACTCACCCATTGGTTGTCATGGATACTACGCCAGGCTGGAGGCAGGGGTTGATCTTCATATTCTTCGTTTGGAGTGTGGGGTTGCCACACATACGGGTGCTGACCTATGAAGCTATTCACTATGGAGAAACAAGAAAGACAAAGTCAGATAAGTGATACAGAAATATACAAGCACCTACATCCTCCCATTCTCATGTATTTCATCATCATCACTGCCTCCGGCACACTAACCTATGATCTTGGTGCCCTGATGGGAGTGTGCGTGCATTTGTTGCCCCAAGGCGGTGGGAGGCGATGAAGGTGTGTGCGCAGGCTGGACCTCCAGTGAGTGCTCCTGCAGGTACTCCTCAATGACCTCCAGGTCCACCTCGGGGCAGGAGGAGGGAGCCACTCCGTTCCAGGCCCCCCGATCTCCACTCAGCCTGATCTCAGTCACATGAGCCATCTGACAGACAGAGAGAAAGACGGCGGCTTTCAGAAATCATACACGATCTGGCTCACACCTCAGCGAGTTTGTTTGTGTGATGCTGATGGACAGAAAACACTTTGCATGATGGGTGGCATTTATCTCGTGTCAGTCATAGCCTGAGGTGTTGTTATTATCAGACTGCACACCTGCTGTTTTTTTTCATGAGAACCCCTCATTGTTTTGTTTTGCACTATTGTGTTCTGGTGCATCGTACAGTGAAAATGTTTGCACGGGGATATACATTCATCAATTTAAAATGAGCTGTGAACAGTCTAAGCATCATTCATTTTCTACATGATATTAAACAGCAGTGATCATTCTTGTAATATGATTATTTCCCCAAAATGACACACACTAATGGCATTCACAGTAGTGAACTGTATAATATATAACCTGATCTGAGCTGCGTATTGTGTTTGTCTTGAAAATAAGGTGTGATCATGTGTATTTTAGTTTGACTGGCAAATTTATGCAAGTGTTTGTGCATTGACCAGCACAGGTACCATTCAGGTAACAGTGATGTGTGGCTTAGCTGACATTCATACAAATGACCCTGTACCTTAAGCCAACACACGTCAATTACAGTTAACAAAATCATATTTTAGAGCACACTATTACTGAAACATCCAGTTGTATATAAAAAAAACCCACCTTTCTTTGTCATTCATGGGCTGATTAAAAAACAAACACACACACAGAGACAGTAATTAAAATAAAATAATATCAGACTCACCGTCTCCATTTCTGCCAACATACTTAAAGGACAATCTGGAAAGAGAAAAACACCCTTGTGAGACACCACAATCAAACCTCAAATCTCACAACACAAACAGAGAAGTGAAAGAAGCTGTCACACTAACTTATCAGAGACTGACAGACAGTCATATGACATCAAAAGACGGACAGACCGAGTCAGAGCCCGAATGAATGAGCACAACAAAGACGATATCTGTACCTCGTTAAGTCAGAGATGTACTCCTGTTTTCTGGTTCAGTGTAGTAGTATCCTCAGGCACTGGAGGGTGGAGACATGAGAATATGAATGCTCACCTGAATGATGCCCCACCTGAATGTCACCTCTCTTTTAAGCCTTTGCACTCTTTTGGCCAAGCCCCTGAGTGGGAGTGGTTTACAAAATGAAGGTTGTCTTTCTTCAGATAGTTTGTCCTTAATATAACAGCTTGTATTCAATATAACAGCTTGTATTCAATATAATAGCTAGTATTCGATATAACAGCTTGTATTCAATTTAATAAGTGCCTTCAGCTTGTGAAGGCACTCGCTGATGGAATCTCATGGAATCAAAACTTGGTGGTGCATTTGTGGTTTCTTATTTTATTTGCCAAAGCATACCATGGATAAGATTATGACATCCTGGTGGAATCAAACATGAAACACTTTTGAAAAGACTGAACAATGTGATTATTGAATCTCTGCAGTTGGGAAGACAGAAATTATGGGAGAAATGTGTTTTACTACCTCCATGTTTTGAAGAAATATGGATGTAATATCTGGAATGTATATGGAACAAATCCCACACATACGCTCACATATTTTCATGCATCCCACAATCCACTGTAATGTACACCTTATTTACCCATACCCACTTGGCCTCATGTGGTCATCAAATGTGGTGCAGTTCACAAACCTTTTTCCATACATGGGAAATGTTTATAAGAGTAGCCAAAGACAATATTCTGAACCTTTTGTTTTTTATAATGTATTGATAAAATATTGGTGTGCAAGAACTGAAAAAAAGACTTAGTGAGAAATGTGTTTATGTTTATTTATCATCTGTAAGCACTATATAAACATATAATAGTTACAAAGAGACATAAGGACATCTATAAGTATAAGTAAGTATAAGCATAAGAGTTTGCTAATGTAAAGTATTAAAACATCCCCCATTAAAACATATTTTACAATTACAACTGTATTATAGGAAATTATCTGTTTGTATAACAGCATCCAGTTGTGAATGCTTCACAGGAGGAGTTAAAGTTGTTAACCCTGATATCTGCATTTTAGTATGTTATAAATCATTTCTGAGACGTTTTATAAGGGGGGGTGAAATACCCTTAAATCTTCTGCATTAATGAGCGGTCAAGTTTTCTTTTTCTGACTAGAACTACAGTTGTTATAGCAGGCTTATTCATCATCAGCTTCACTTAGCACGCCATGGCCATATACCAACATTCATTGAGATAATCCACTACATTTCTAGAACAACAGACCAGTGAGTGAATAAAAGACTCCTCTCCCTTAAAAATCTTCTCAGGCTCAATTCTGTGGACATTAGTTAACTATAAAGCTGCTACGTAAAAATTACATTGTTCTATAAGCCATTATGGGGAAGCAAACAGCCACAGGTATTGCATCACATGCCACATTAGGAACACACAATGTCATTCATAGTTCACTTTCAATATATGCTTGATTGTGTGTTGTAAGTGAGCGTGTTCCTTTTTGTTGCCCTTACGTGTGATTTTATTGAAGACGTAGATTCCAGTATAGTGCTGGCATAGCTACATAGTCCTTTTTTCACAGGGTGTGTGTAGCTAAGGGATTTCCCCAAACCTTTTTTGGTTTGAGAGACACAGACTGAAGCAGAAATGTAACTTGTCCACCTGATCTCAAACAGCCTGCTGTATAAACAGAGACTTTATATGTCTGGGGTTTGGAGTTAAATATGACAGTAAACCAATTTTGAGACCTTCACGCCAATTCACTGCCTCTGTACTTAAAGTAAGGATAGTGATTCAATCAAGAAACTGTTATTGAATCGGAATCGAAGCCCGGAGGTGAAGCTTTTACAACCGCAAATCTTATTTCAACCATTTCCAATTTGAGTGCAGAGAATTGTTTTTGTGTAACTGTGTTAACCTTCTGATGGACGTGTGACCTGTTTAAGGTGTTTCTCTGCAATGCATGCTGGGATGAAGCATGTAAATACTGACAGACGTTTAACCTCAAGAAATAAACGAAACCTCTGTGAATATAGTTAAAAATGGCATTGACACAGGTATTTATGGACTGATAAGCAGTCTCATAGTAAATCCAAATGTGGTGCCAGAAGCCTGTGACCTCCTTGGGCTGATGATATATGATGCGTATGTAATGGGAGGCGGATATTTACACCCTGAGTTTTATTCCTGGGCTATCATCTTAACATGATAAAAACTACGCTCACAGGAATGGCATCAATAACTTTACAACATGTCAAGGTTTAGTGTAGAAATTCATCACAATGACTTATTACCACTGATCCCAACACTGTAAACCAATCAGAATACCCAAAAAAACAATTCAGAGTCATGGAAGGTCAAGTATCAGCAATGGTTCTGGACTGTACCTATAAAAATGTGTACACATGTGCATATGTACTTGTGCATGTGTCCAGTCATACATGCTTATGTCTAAAACTATCAGAAGGTTGACTGAAACAGAGCAGCAGCTGAGCTAATTGTGCTGGTGATTTCCCCCAGTGTGCCAGGCTGACCACCTGGAGTATTGCAGTCTTTGTGAACCTCTCTCTCTCTCTCTCCCTCTCCCTCTCTCTCTCTCACACACACCTGCCATAACATAAACACAGCTACACATTCAGACACTTGCACAATATGCACTGTGACATATTGCTGATCTTCTTGTATGCACATATCACAGTTTTGTTTACCTTTTGCATGTCTGCTCTTGTGCAAGTACAAACAACTAGAACCTACAGTACACATAGATTTTGATTCAGGTTTGATTGATAAAACTGATTATGAATAGATTTTTCTTTTTTTTTTTTTTTTTACAAAAGTTGTTTGCGTTTACTTTACTAGTGTGCCTTTTAAAGTGAAACCAAAGGCAGTTAGGGAGACCTGTTCGGCAAGGTGGAAAAATAGCTTCCGTGATCAGGAGAGTTTCCCGTACTTGAAGCGCATGATGTCATGCACCTTATTTAACCCTTAGGATGCTAACTGTATATATAAAGCAGATGAAAGCACATCCAGTAACAAAGTATGTAACAAATCAAATCGCAGAGTAGGCCATAATCTTTATGATGTGGTAAGACATCAGTTAGTGTATCTAATATTTGCTTAAACAGCAAAAGTTATAAATACAATTCCCATCAAGACAGATATCCATCGTCCACCACCCCAACACCACAGATCATAATTCTCTTTTATCAGCCTGAGCCTGTCACGTCTCAAGTGATGCAAACACCACAGCCACAACAGATTTTTTGTATGAAATTGACAAAATGCCAAATAAATGTGGCAGGTGTAATTGTTTTTGCGACGCATGCATGTACACATATATATGTACAATTAAACTACAAGTTGTTATTGAGTAATTTGCCTGCGAAACTTGGGCAAAAAACATCTTTTACATCACATGTCAAAACATATTTTATTTTGAAAATCTTGTCTTGATATTGATTCTAAATAATGAAGTACAATACCAATACCATTAGAAATGCCAAAGCCAATTTCAATACAATCAATACAATAACAACCACAATAGCAGTAAACAAAGCAGATGTAATCAACAATTAAGTAGTATTGGTTGTATCAGAATTGTGGATCCCATTAAAGTTTAGTACAGTAATTAACATCATACAAAAAAATATTAAAATATTAATATTCAGCCCCACTCCAGGTTATAGCATTAAATATTAATCTCGCAAGATTAGGGACCAAGGGACAAGGACCCGCATACTTAAGTATGTAAGCCAAATCCCACAGCAGACAAGTTCAAATCAAGTCTTATGTCCAAATTGAAGCCACTATGTGTTAGAAATCGCAAAGGGACACTGAGATGAATGGGCTGAAAGCTCATTATTCCACAAACACATAGTGGCTTTAACTTACAGTTGTATGTCTCCATCACATCTCCTTAGGCCTGAGGACATGTCACCAATTGTGATTAGGAAGTGTCAGCTGGTCTCACTTTCAAAGCTCAAACCTTGTGCGAAGATGCTGATTTGCGTTCTTGCTGTGAGTGAGATAAGAAGATGGATAAATATAAGGCTACAGCCAGCAGCTTGTTAGCTAAGCACAAACACTGGAAAAGGGGAAACAACTAGCCTGCGCTGTCAGAAGGTAACAAAAATCTTCCTGTCAGCACTTCCAAAGCTCACAATTTATTGATGTGTTATATCTCGATGTAAGAACGACATGTTGAGATTTTACGAGAAGTTATGTGCCAGACTATTTCTTGGCAGGGTGCAGGAACTTCCTGGAGTCTCTGCTGTCTGCTTGCAGTAGCTTGACATTTACTGTAGAAATAAGAGTGGTATTGATCTTCTCATCTAACTTTTGGCAAGAAAGCATATAAGTGCATTTACAAAATCAAACTGTTTGGTCATGGTTGGGACAGAATCTGGGAGGAAATCACATCTAGATCCATAACAATGTATAGAAGTAATAAAAACAGTGGCAGCAGTGATTGGAATAAAAGTCAATGGCAGACTTTACCACTAGGAAACTGCCTGAGCATCCCCAGTTGCACTAGTGGCAGGGTTTGTAGAAGTACAGTAGTAGTGATAATAGTAGTTACAGTAGCAGTAGTAGTATTTGAGTAGTGATGCTATTGGTGGAACTAGAAGTGACAGAAATAGTTAAAGGAGCAACGAAAAGTTATTAGGTGTCAAGAGCTTTATAAAAAAAGACTTGATAAACGTGTTCGGAAAACCCCCCATTGTTCAGTGAAATGGGTGACGGTTAGGACTCCTATAACTCTGCTTGCACCTGGAGGACTCAGACAAGGTGATAAGACCAAAGAGACATTAGACTCCTGCAGTCAGAAAGACACAAAGTGAAGCAGGTGAAACCTGAGAACTGTTGGTATACCAGGGCATGCAGGTATTAAACTTATCTGATTTATGTTTTTTTATGTGGGTAAGTCAGAGCTAAAAATAAGAGTTTGCATCTAAAAATACTCAATGGATTAACAGAGGGTGAGATTTTAAATCTGAGGCTGATTTCAAGGAATGTGCAGCCATCTGGGCCAAACAAGATATGAGAGATATCTCTTTTTCACTACTACTGACACTGTGGTGACATAACAGCTACTGCATACTCTTATATTACATTATTTCACTATATTAATCTTTTGACAGAAATCAATG